TATATAATAACATCGTCACTATACTTTCGGAAAATGCTTTCAGCTCCTAAAACCACGGAAAACTTTGTGAAATTGTGCACAGGAGCTGCAGGGCTTGGCAAGCAGAGCGGTATGCCATTGCATTATAAAGGCTCGACTTTTCACAGAGTTATCAAGGACTTCATGATTCAGGTGATCATTTCTAATCTTTAGGAGATTTCCGAGGTAACTTTGCAGTTTAAGGGAGGTGACTTCACAACTGGAAAGGGTACCGGAGGAGAATCCATTTACGGAGGCCTTTTCGATGACGAGCCTTTCATCTTGAAACACGACCAGCCATTTCTATTATCTATGGCAAATAAAGTGAGTACTGATCTTCTTTCAGAATTTCAAAATTGTTTCGAGGGTCAGTTACGACTACACTGAAAAATTGGCTCAAAAAACACTGCAGGCAACCTGCAAACTGCATGGGAAACTGCATGCATCAAATCGCATATAGTCCAGTTCATAATTTTTTTGAGCAAATTGTTCATTCTCTCCCACACATTTATATTGCATAACAGTGTAAAATCAATTGAGTGTTTAGGGTCCTAACACCAACGGCTCACAGTTCTTCATTACCACAAAAGCCGCTCCACATCTGAACAACAAACATGTTGTTTTCGGCAAGGTATAACATTTACAGTCTATTAGTAGCTCGTAATTATCTGTTTCTAAGGTGATCTCTGGTAGTGAAGTTGTTACCGAAATTGAGCATCTCAAAGTGAATGCGCGTTCTTGTCCAATAGCTGATGTTATTATCACTAACTGTGGCGAGTTGGTACGAAAGAGGAAGAAGGAAGTGTCTAGTTCGGAAAGCGAATCGTCGGATAGGTATGCCTCTCAAAGAAGATTTTTGATCTGCATTGTATAAAGTGTTTTAGTGAGGAGGAAAAAGCCAAGAAGAAACATCACGAAGAGAGAGCGACCAGCGTTGAGAAAGAGGAAGAGAAGAGGGACGCAGTTGTGGTGAGTAAAATATCTGAGGTAAAAGATTTAAAGGCGTATTCACATCGTTTTGCTTGGTTTGCTTCTCTTTTTTCTTACTTTGAAGGCAGTGTCCGGGCAAAATTTCGAACAAATTTTTTTCACGTACCCGGGTTTATCCTTCCCGCTAAATCCGAAAATCCAATTTGATACGAAAATGTCGTGAACGGACTATTCCAGAAGCCTCTGGTTTTGAATTTCGACGCTTGCCGCCGAGGTTAAGACG